GCATTGAAGGACATATCCTGGTCAAAAATGATTCCTCACAGTGTTACTGGAGACCATGTTAATGCCATCCAGAGTAAGAATCTGTCTCTGATTTTTTTGGGCTGAGTACATTAACCACAGTTTTGTCTGAATTTAGAAGCAGAAAATTAGAGGTAATCCAGGTCTTTATGTCTTTAAAACGTTCCTTCAGTTTAACTAATTGATGTGTATTATCTGGCTTCATGGATAGGTAAAGTTGGGTGTCATCTATATAGCAGTGAAAATGTATGCTATGCCTTCTGATGATACTGCCTAAGGAAGGGAAGCCTGTGGAACTCCATAATTAACCTTAGCATGTGAAGAGGACTCTTCATTTACATGAACAGATTGGAGTCTATTAGATAGATATGATTAAAAAAACAAGAGTCTTAAATAAATATCAATAGCACTGAAAGTAGCAGTAATGTTTTGAACGACTTTCATTTGTGAAGAAATTCATAAATAAAAATTGTAACCATTATAGAAAGATATTATGTTTCGAGCAGCTCCAAACCATGACAGAGATGGCTGTAGACACTCACTGCTGTACCTCCTCTGCATATAATGATGATTATTTGGACCAAACTTATAGAGTCATTAGTTCATAAGACCTGATGCAGCTGTCACAGTTATTGTCTAATTTCTCCTGACAGCCACATTTTTTGCTGATCTGACTTCAGTGAACAGTAGATGGATCAGATTTAGGGCCAGATGCATCTCTCAGGTCCTGTATGAGGTCTTTGCTGGATTTTCTTTCCTGTTCTTTCCATGTCTTAAGCCATGACTGTTCATCCACTGTGTATACTTTGGCTATTTGGGAATCAGTTTCATGGAGCAAAAATGTGATTTTATGCCTCTCAAACTGTTACCTTTGGCGTTTTTTCATAGATTCAACTAAAGTAATGGGAATCTGTTACAGGCTGCTAATAGCAAAGTGCCTAAAGATACAATTTAAAATGAGTTATTTGCTAAATTATCTGTTAAAATACACAGATTGGAAAATGCTCAGGTGAAAGCACTGGACTGAAAAAGGAATGAAGAAGAAGCCAGAAGACCTTCAGAAGGCCTGGAGAACTTTGTTCAAGAGCACTTAAAAAATGGGACTTCTACACATTAATACATATCGGATTTTTGTGACACTTTGAATCCATAAATTCTGATTTCACATCAGTTTATAAATAATGTTTTGCGTCTTTTTATTTTATCTTCTGCCTGTAAAGCAACTCTTTTAATAACCTCTATAAAAAAGTTGTTACATTGTACTTTTACATCTTGTTTACATTCACATATTTTGTATTTAATGAAGCCCATCGTGCTTTCATCTCATTGCTTTCTATTTGCTCACAAACTTGGCGTGATTTTTCTTTGCAGGCCTACTGAAGACACATAACCTGTCTTTCCAGGACAGCGAGAGCCTGCAGGCAGTGTTTGATAAGGACAGCTATGCCAATGTATTCAGAGCCCAGCCCAGGTCTGTAAAAATCTTTCTTCATAGTTTATTTTGCAAATCATGACAATGACAGTCTCCCACTTGCTTTTAATCTTTTATTTCCTCGTACTGTGTAGCTTTTTTTTTTAACACCAGGAAAAACATTTTTACATTTCAGTTGGTTGATTAAATGAATAAATAGTAAAATATATTTTAAGGGAGGTGTAACTTTGTAGCTGTAGCTAGATTTGATTTCTCTTCTTCTCAGGCTGCTGGTAGACACAGTCGTCCATTTTCCTCCATCTCTGGACGAAGTGACTATGTCAGTGAGTGATGAACGGATGTGGGTCAGGAACCATGTGGAGGATGAACCAGGTGACAAGACTGATATGAAAAAGTTTTGCCAGCGTAGTAGTAAAGCAGGAACTGACATCTAATAATGCCATGCATTGCCATGTTTTAAAATCAGCTTTTTGTCCTCTTGTTTTTCTGCTCTCTCAGAGGCGTCCAAAGCCATGCTGACCGAGCTGTGTTTGGCTTCAGACGAGTTTGATCATTTTGCTGCCCAAGCTCACAACAGTGTGACTTTTTGTCTGAAGGAGTTGCGGGTGAGAGAAACTATATAGGGAAAGCACGAGAGAGTTGCGTAAGTTAGTTTGGGAGGGGGAGAGAGGTGGTTATCAGACCAGAGTGTGAAAGAAGTTATTTGGGGACCAGATGAAAGCACTTACAAGATGTTGTGGTGTTCTTGTAATGCTTGCATAGTTTGCAAAGTCACTAACTAGTATCTCTCATTCAGGGTTTACTAGTGTTTGCAGAATCAACTGGCCTCCCTGTTTCTATGTACTTGGACGAGCCGGGCAGGTGAGCATCGCTACCTGTGGGTTATTTTTTTTGATTACTTGTTTCTTCCTTTTTAATAACATAATTTTTTTCTGTGTCTGTTTGTGTGACAGCCCTGTGGTGCTTTCAGTAACGGACAGTGTCCTGGAAGGAAACTTTGTGCTGGCCACTCTTTCTGATGATCCCAGCCTTCGTAAAAATAGCAGCAAAGGGTAAAAACGACAAAACATATTTTTGTTGATTTGGGACGTTTTTTTCTCATGCTTGTGAGCAGGAAGAAAAATGAAAACAAAACTAGTGTACCCTTCACACAATGGCTTATTAACAGCTCGGTGACAGGCAGGAAATTCTAAACGTTTACCCTACTGCGCCATCTGGTGGATCAGAGTGTAAATGAAGACAAATGCTGGAGGAGCCCATTTACATTTCATACTCGACATTTCCAGTTGTTGGAAATGGATTTTTATTATTTGCTCCAGGAGTTTAGACCAGGTTCTTAGTCCACCAGTTTGAATAAACTCTTTAAAAAAACTGTGTTTATTCAGGGTTTCACATTTTGTCATTCTGAGGCTGAGAGGCTAAATCTGGAGAACTCATGTCACAGTTAACAGCTGTTTGTAGTTGCATCTTCACACAATAAATGCACTCAGTATATTTATGGGAGTGAAAAACTAGAATGCCGTAGGCTTAATTGTTATGATATTGAGCTCTAAAATTGAAGCTGGTTAGTCATGTTGATTTGTTATTGTTTTGCAAGTCCAGAAAATCAAACGGTCACCATGAAGGTCAAAAGGAGCAAGAAAAGCTTTTTTTTTTTTTTAAATCTTGTGTGTCATCTTTCTATCTGACTTGCACTGCACACCGTCTGCTCCACCCCTCAGAGCACACACAGCAGCTCCACCCCCTCCCGATGACTTCATGAATGATGACATGGACTCATATCTAATCGCCATGGATACCAGTATTGCGCCAGGTCCCTCAAACACAGGTCCACCCCCGCCTTCATTATCTGGTGACACACGTTCAAAACGGCCTGCAGCAGTCAGCCACAAGGCAAGGATTCTCATCGAGGAGGCAGAAGAAGAAGAAACAGATGATTTAGACAGACTACCTAATAAAAAGGTATGCCTTAGGTTTCTCAGGCGTGTTAACAGGCTGTGGATTCACTTCAATGAATCAAAACGACAGAAGTAAAATATTCTCGCACATACAAAAAGAAGCAGATTCTTTAAAAACTGAGTCGTCACAACTGTCCACATACAGTCCTCACGTGAAAAAGAAAGTACACGCACGCTCTTTTAATTTAGTTTTATGTGTCAGGCTGTAACAAAAAAATCAACTTGTTCTTATTAGGTCTTAAAATTAGCTAAATGCAACTTTAGATTAATAACAACTCATGAATTATTATCATTACTTACATGTTACACACAAGCAGTGCGTGTGTGTGACTAAATGTATCCTCACTGCTTCCACAGAAATTGAGTGTGAAGATAAATACAGTAGCAGCCAAGTGCTGCTAATCAAATCCACTTGATTAACTGATTAACAGCAAGTGTGTTCACCTTTATAAAACCAGAGGTCTGGTTGTTTTTCTGGTCTGGAGCATTCAGGTGTTTGTTAATGCAGTGCCAGGGAGGAAAGACATCAGCAATAACCTTAGAGAAACAGCTGTTGCTGCCCATCAATCAGGTGAGGGTTATAAGACCATTTCCAGTCAACCTGAACTCCATCACTGTACAGTGAGGAAGATTATTCACAAGTGGAAAACCTTCAAGACAGCTCTCAGTGTTGTTGGAAGTGAAGGTCCTGGCAAATTCACCCAAAGGTCAGACCGTGCAGTTCTCAGACTCTATGGGCCTCAAGTTAGCATGTCAAATGTTAAGGTTTATAAGGGTGTGATTAGAATAACACTGAACAAGAATAGCTTGTTTGGAGGGTTGCTAGGAGAAAGAAACAATCCTCTCTAAAAACATGGCAGCACACCTTATGTTTGCAGAGTTGCTTCTGAACAGACCACAGAAACCTCTGGAACAAAGGCGTGCACATTTAAGCAGATATTTAATAAAAAAATAAACAAGTGATTGAATGTTTGTTTATGCTCTCAAATTAATTAAATATTGGTATCTTAACATTTTGATAAATTGTAGTCTTTAATATATTTCCCTTGTGTGTGATTTTTCTCGCAGTTTCGGTCGCTCTTCTTTGGATCGGTGCTTCCCCCGTCGTCTCAGTTGAGCACACAGCCGATGACTTCTCAAGAGGTGCTGGCCAGCGACAGTGAGGAAGAAAATTAAATAACTGCAGACTGATCGGCTAGAGGAGACATGGACTAAACTGACAGTGGGTGCATGTGCGTGCACTGTTAAACAAAGACACCTGGAGTACTTGAAGATAAAGAAATGAACACAAATTTTCATCCTTACTGGCCAGAACAAGTAGTACCTGGACCTGGTTAAATATGCAGAGGCCACCAGCCTCTAAATTCTCATTATGTAAAACTAGACATGAAGCAATTCCAATTTATTTTAATTTTGTGTTTGCCCAGTTTGTAATTAAGGTGCAGTGTAAAAGGTCCCACCGAATAAAGCAAACTTATTTTTCAATATATGTAAACATCATTTATTATTTATTTACATGTCGAAAAGTTCAAGTATGAGAAATATTTAGGATGAGGGAATTCCACATGTCCACCAATGTGGAGCTCAAAGAGAGAAAGGCAGTGATGCAGAATCTGAGTAATGTCAAAAATAAGCCTCGGCATAACCAGCAGAATGTCTGTGAATTGTCTGTGAGTCAGTCTTTGCAGGATGAGCAGCGTCGTCACTACGTTTCTCTTTTTGCACCTGAAAACTTTTCCCTCTCGTCTGTGGTTTCCTCCTCTCCTTTTCCTTCCCCTTCCCCTTCTCCAGCTCCTTCTCTTTCTTCTTTTTCAACTTCTCCTCTTCCTTCTCCTTCCTTTCTTGTTCCCTCCGCCGCCGCCTCCTCTCCTTGGAGTTCAGTTTGTCCTCCGCCTCTTCCTCAGCCGCATTCCCAGTCCCTGGCATATCACTGAAGTCTTGAATCAAGATTTTCGGCACTTGCATTTTGGGTGCCTTCTTAGCCTTGTTGTCTTTGTGATGCTCACCTCTCAGTCTGCGGAAGAGACCAAAACGTTTAGGGGTGTCGGGCTGTGGCTGCTGCTGTGTGGGGGCTTCCTCTGTTGTTGTTGCTGCTGCTGCTGCTGCTGCAGGCGGCAACAGATCAGGAGCAGCTTGTTTTGAGGTCACAGCTTTAGGATTGCACTGTGACTCTGTGAGTTTGGCTTCTGGTTGATTTTCTGAAGTTTTCTGGGGGGTGGTGAAGAGATCCTCGGAAAGCCTGCGGGCTAGCCTGGAGCTACGTGAGGTGGATGACTTGCGAACGCAGAAATCAGCGGATGATCGACTGCTGCGACGCTCAGGGGTTTGTACCGGGGGCTCTTTTGCAGATTGAGAACATTGGACTTGGGGAACATTTGTTGGCTCAGAAGAAATGAAGACATCGTCCTCTCCTGCTGGAGTTTGTTTAATCTTTTCAGTAATTTCTTCCTCCTGCGTGGGCTCCACTTGTTGAACCTTTTGATTTGAGTCTTCAGGATCCACAGTAACCTGGCTTGTTGTCTCTTCAGGTGCTTTTGTCTCAGAGGTACTAATTTGTACTGAACTCTCCTCATCAGGCTCACTGGTGTGGTTGAGCTGATCAGCTGGTGCTGCAGACTCTTCCGTTTCCATGGGTGTTGCAGAGTCTGCAGGCTTCTCATAAGTCTGAGTTTCTGTTGGTGTTTCCTCTGTGATTTTTTGAGTATAGATGCATGAATCACTTTCAACCTGTGCCTCCGAGTGTACATTCAAAATAATTTCTTCTGTTGCCTTATTTGACGCCTCCACTGTGTCTTTTCCGACTGTTATCTCAGTTTTAGTCTCTGTATCATCTACTGCACCAGTGCTTTCTTTTTGTTGAGTGCATTCAGATGAAGACAGCATTAATATTTCTTCTTCTAGCTCCATTTCTGTCTTTGAATCTACTTGTTGTTCTGAATCGACTTCTTTAATTTCTACCTTTATATCGCACTGTGTGGCTGAATTTTCCTGATTATGTGTCAGAACCTCATTTTCTGTGTCTCTTTGGGTGTGGGACTCTGCTTCCTTTTCTGTTTGTACTAATGACTCAGTACTGTGGTATTTTACTTCAAGTGCACCTTTTTCTGTCTCCTTGATCAGCTCTTCCTTTTCCTGTCGTGATTCTGCCTCTGCTGCACTATTCTGATCATCAACAGTTAAAGCTTCAACACCTCTGTCTGTGTCCACACTTGTCTCACTTTTAGACTCCGTAACGTCTGCGTTCATCTCCACCTGTTGCACACTTTCAGTGTCAGCACTCTCTTCTGATTTCACGTCAGCTTGTATCCTCTGCTCCTCGCCTGCGTTTACACCTATTTGCATCTCGTCCTCTGTGTTTGTATGTGCTTCGGCTATTCTCGGTGTCTCACTGTGGTTTTCCTCCACAGCAACCACGTGTTTCTCTGCCTCTTCATTTGTGTCTTTGAGCTCTACTTCCTGGTCTTTGCTTTTATGACTTTGTTCTTCTAGCACTTGTGATTCACTCTCTGTGTCCAGCTTTTCTTCTTGTTCACAGTGAGGTGCATAATCAGGGGGATGAAGAATATTTTCAACAGTCTGATTTGGGGCAATCTTTTCTTCTTGTTCTGAAAGCATTTTGCTTTCATTTATCTCAGTCAGCTTGGTTTCATCCATATCACTGAGTTTGCGTTCCCCTGTCTCCCTGACTTCAATTGTCTCCGTCTCCCTGACATCACTTGTCTCCGTCTCCCTGACATCACTTGTCTCCGTCTCCCTGACACACTTGTCTCGTCTCCCCTGACATCACTTGTCTCCTGTCCCTGACACACTTGTCTCGTCTCCCTGACATCACTTGTCTCTGTCTCCCTGACATCACTTGTCTGCCGACACTTTCTCCCTGACAACACTTGTCTCTCGTCTCCCCTGACAACACTTGTCTCCCGATCATCCCCCCGACATACACTTGTCTCGTCTCCCTGACATACACTTGGTCTCTGTGACAACACTATCTCCGTCTCCCTGACATCACTTGTCTCTGTCCCCCTGACATCACTTGTCTCTGTTCCTGACAACACTTTGTCTCCGTCTCCCTGACAACACTTGTCTCTGTCCCCTGACATAGGCTTGTGACACATTGTCTCTGTCTCCCTGACAACACTTGTCTCTGTCTCCCTGACAACACTTGTCTCTGTGACAACACTTTTCTCCATCTCTCTAACATCACCTGTTTCTGTCTCTTTGACACTGCTTTCCTCAATTTCAGCAACTCCTTTTTCCGTGTTTTCAGTCTGTTCTTTTCCCGCTGCTGTTTCTTCTGTTTGGATATTTTTGATTTCTTGAATCTTGTCAGGTGTCTGTGAAATTTCCTTCTGTTCAGTTTGTCCCTCTTTTTGTCCCTCTGAAACTACATCCTCCTCCTCTTTGACTCCTTGTACCTTCTTAAAGTCAAACTCATTCCAGCTTTTCCAGTCCTCCCTTCCACCCATTGAAAGATGCCTCACTACTTTGTTACTGCCTTCGGAGTCAACTGTGTTCCCTTTTCCCACTTTCCTCCACTTCTTGTGAAGGAGGGAAGGAGACAGTGAGAGAGAGGAGGCTGAGCGAGTTAGTGGGACAGAGAGGTTCCCTTTCTGTCTCTCTTTCCTCTCCTTCTCAATTTCATGCTGCCGAGCTCTAGCCCACGCCTTCTGGTATCCATGGCAGCGACCTCTGGGGTCAAACGTGGACGATGGTTTTTCTTTCCTCCACTTTTCCAGCTCCTTCTCCGTCTGCTTTTCCAAATCTTTACCCGACAGTGGCACAGAGCATACCTGAAACAAGAAGGGAAACTCTGCAGATAGTTTGCACCCCAACAACACAGTGTGTCCCGCCACAATACAAAACCTGTTAAAGATCCCTGAGAAACACCACAAAGAGCCTTGAACAGTTACCCCTAACCTCCAAATTCCTTAGATCATAATCCAATTGAGCAATTTTGACACACTAATTCCAAGCACCACAGGACACCTCCAGAGCTCCCACGTTCATGCCACAGTGGATCAGACATGTTTGTGGCTGAGCTGTTTTAGTAACTTACCAAGATTTATATCTACGTTATTTGATAGAATAGTGCCATTATGTAAAAAAAATTAAATAAAACAAAGTTAATGATAGAAACATGTTTTAAATTTACTCTTCAGGGTTTTTTATTTTTTTATTTTATTTGCCTCATCTCTTTGGTTTGCAGCCATCTTTTTGAAAGGTTTTTGCTTTTGAGGTGTATCTTTTTACACTCTTTGTGGTCATGATTAGTTTAATTTACTTGCTCTGTTGCTTTACAAATGAAAGCTGTTATCTTGAGGTAATTGGCAGAGAACAAGATGCTTCTCTATAAGCCTATCAGGTTTAAAAATCGAAATCTTACCTCTGCTATGAATTCGTCGTCTTCATCGTGGACCTCCTCCTTAACACCCCTCAACTTCTCCAGAGTCTCCATTTGGCCCTGACACTGCTTCCTCTGCTCAGCTCGACCCAACACCCGGCGCACCAGCACCGCTGCAACCTGTAGCAGCACCCGGACCCCTACGAGGAAAGATGAGGGCGAAAGAGGAAGACCTGGTGAAAATGCTACATATCAGGTAGATGATGGCAGTGACCAAAAATGTAAGAATTGTGCAGATATTTAAACACTTCTATATATAGTGGACAAAACCATCGCTTTTAATAAGCTGCTATTCCTGCCAGTCCTAAGGGGGTTGTGTTAGCCTGAGGTCAGCACTACCATAGCAGAAGAAGAGGTCCCAGACTCGGAGAAGCGTGTTGAATGGAAGGTGACGTGTGAACAGACACATCAGCCAGTCGGTGGCAAACATGAGGGGCTCCACTCCGTGGTTCTGCAGATGTTTGTGTGCAGCTGGACACGTCTTTTTCAAAACCCAGGTCAGCATGGCCGCATCGAACAGTACTCCCTCCTACACAGCACACCACAGTAGGCTCAGACAGCTGCCCAGCTTTCAGGGTCAACACATGATTCATCTTTGTGTTTGGGTTATATTTATAGCACAACTTATCAAGAATCAGCCTTGAAATCAACATCTACTCGCCTACGTGTTGATTATATGTATTATAAAAGGTAAAAAATGTAAAAAACAAAAGATGTGCATGTCCTCACCAGCAGAGGGCTGTAATATCCGGGCAGGTATTGCTCACTGATCTGAACCAGACACCAGAAGGCCTCCTGCCAGGTTACATAAGGTGAACATCAGGCCAATAACTGCTCCGTATTATAGAAACTTAGCACTGTATTCTCAGGATTGCATTAATACTGTTATACCTCTGAAATAAAAAGCTTAACAGGTCGATGAAACAAGCAAGGTAGAGTCGGTGTCTTAAATGAAGGTTGTTGTTTCTCCACTGAAATCTAATTATTTTAATGTCTTTGCAGCTGATTTATCAGACCGAAGCTAAACTGTTAATGGCCTTTACCTGAGCAGGCATGTTCATCAGCAGCACTGCAGCCACCGGCCCCTGAGCCTGACAGTAACCCTCATCTGGCTGATACTGGGTGTAAGCTTTCAACACCCGGAACAAACCACGCTGCCTGCAGACACACACACACCACAATCATCTCTCACACAGCCAGAGGTTTCAGTCACCTTTGACAAGAGTTATACATTTAATAACGAAAAGAAAAGAAAGAAAAAGAAAGACAAGTGACAAGACTGTTTGCTGTTCTGTTGAATAAGCCTTTAACTGTGAAAGCTAATCCAGGGAAACTATGAAAAGATTGGAAAGCCACGCTGAACACTAAATAAACTGTGTGGTTATTCTGCAGCTCTCAGCTTCAGAAACAAATAGCAGAAACCTCGCCTACCCGTGTCCGTCTTTGGACTGGAACATCTCGTGGAAAGGGAACTGCCGGTCCAGATCTCTCTCAATCACATCCACCCAGCTCTGCAGAGCCGGCTGCTCATCCAGAGTCTGATGCAGAGACAAAAAACATAAAACGCATACCAAACAATAGACTTTTGAGTCTTTAAAATTCTAAGTAAGTTAGTCTGTTTCTCAATATTATAAATAATTTAACTTTTACTCAATAAAATATAAGAAAACAGTGATCACAAGATCCCACAACTTAGAACAGAATATATAGATGATCAGGCATAGACTGTATATAAACAATGGACAATATAGCCTCCAGGTCTAACAGAAAGCAATGTAGAAATGCCTTAAACCTGCATTTTGTTTAATTGCCAGAAGGGGAAGACTCCTGGTGGGGGAAAAAAAAGGTCAGATTGCGTAGAAAAAATTAGAAAATGACCCTCTTGGTCATATTAAATTATTTCCTGATAGGTTTACGGCCTTAGTCGCTAATCTGAAGTGGTATTTAATGCAAAATACAATTATAGTCCCATTTATAGTTAAACGAATGATAAAGACGGCATGATTTAGGGAATGTGATGTTGCTGCTCTATAAGTATGTAGTTTCCTAAATTTCTCACTTAGATCCATCAATCACTCGTGAACAACATGTTGCCGGCCAAATAGTAAACCAGCACTTCAAAATCCAACGAGAGACAACATGGTGGCTATGTCCATCTTTTACATAAAGTCTTTGCAGCTGGACTCTTGCACTTTCTTAAACCATCCCAGTGAGAGTGTTTGCTTCTCTTGCCTCGTAGAGGTTTTCATGCTGTTTCATCCTGTTGGCAGCTCCGCACAGCAGAGGCCAGCACTTGGCTCTGAGCGAGGCAGGGATTCCTTTCTGACACTGCACTTTGACCTAATGAGAGACCCGGAAAACAAACGGTTACTGTGCTTTTTCCTGATGTGTCACAATGTCTGTCATGTATAAGGCCCGTCGCCCATCATTTGGTGCCAGGGTTTATTTTCGGGCATCTTTGACGGGACGCACCTTACTGCTCTTCTTCGACAAGATGCGATCCCATTGGTCAATGATCTTTATCCACTTGGCCTCCCTCTGCCTGACCAGTTCAGGTGGCGGGCCCAAACTCCTGACACAGCACAGCACATGAATCACCAGGTAAGTATTTTGACACGTTTCGCCTGTTTGCTGAACAATTTAAATTCTGGAGACCTTTGTAGTGCTGTGTCGCTGCACACTGTTTAGTGTGTTGTCATTACAGACACACAGTGCTCCGAAAACAAGACAGGAAACAGGAAAACCACACGTTAGCAGTGTGAAGTCTCTATGGCAACAGGTCAGGATGTTATCAATGAAGAAAGTAAAGATGACAGGTTGCAGTTTGTTCAGTTAGTTTTAATGCTTAGTTTACACCGCCTCGTGTGCAATCCCCTGCCAGGGCTATTATCAAACGCACAGTCAGCTGATTCTGAAAGTAAAATTGCACTTTATTTTTCAAGTACACACACCCACTTTCAGTTCAGTCATTATGTTTTTTGCAATATTTTTTTTTTGTGGATTATATTTAAAGAATATCAAGTGTAAACAATCTGTTTGTGCAGTTTCCGTCCTGAAGAAGGCCCACTGTGGTTGAAACTACTTGGCTTTTTCACTGATACGCTCAGCTAAATCATTCTAAAGCATCTCCTCCCCCTTTGCTCTGCTTATGAAACTGCCGTAAAGCCACGTTATTTGCAGGGGTCCTCCTGATTTCGCATTCGTACACATTCTCCACTACACCAGTATAGCCTGAATGTTCCTTTCTTTCACTCTGTGTGACTTTTTCCTCTCAATCTTAACATCTCTGCTCTAACAATTTGTCTTTTAACTCTTTATTAATGGCATTTAGTCCACCTGGCTGTGTGTGTGTGTGTGTGGG